ACCTACTTTTTTTGGATTTATCCTTAATTCCACAACACTATTTTATTATCTTCCCATCATACCCTCAATAATTTATATCCCCTATCACTATTCATAATCTCAACAACTTTCAATTTGGGAAGATTCCAATTTTATGGAGGTAGTACTAATATACTCCCCCTGTCACACATGGATTGAGTATGCTTATTAAGATCATGTAGTTTTTGTGGAATTTTATACGCATAAAAAGCTACTTGCACATCTTATAAGGTGGATAATCACAGGGGCATATCCTTGATTTACAAGAAAAACTAAACAAAGAAAGAAAGAAAGAAAGAACGATGAAGTTTAATATGGAATGGAATATGTTTTCCCCCATCAAGAAAGCTAATTAATAAAGATAATAAATAGCGGATGACTGGGGTAAATTGATCTATGCAGAGTGTAGGAGGGGGCAGTATTTTTGTGAAGGAAGACGCGGAGGCGAAGTCTAGGGATATTGGATCAATGGCCGTCTCCTCTCCATCGAAGCGGAAGAGCAAGAAAAAATCTGAAGCATCCGCCATTCCATCTGCATCATCCACTGTTACTCATCAAGTTCGGAGCACCAATGAAGCTTCTTCCCCTTTCACAGCCCGATTCATTCTGGGTGTGGCTTTCGTTTCAATTATCATTGGTGTAATTCTCGGTAAGAGATATTAGAAGCATCCCGATTCTACATTTGAGGTATTCCTTAATCTTATCATTGTATTTCTATTCTTCTTTGAACATGGCTGGTTGTGGCTTCTAAATTCCTGGCTTGAAGTCCTTTTGAGAACATAGTTTTTTACTTCTCGATGGCTTGCATATTTTTTATCTTACTTTGTAGAAGCCACTTGATTGGTCCAAATAGGCAATTTATTGTTTTATTCTAGGAGTACTTTACTAGTACTTCTCATAGCGCTGGTTTGTAATGGTCCGGGTAAAACTATTATGTTCCGACCAATGTACAGTGCACATTTCTTCATAGTTATTACTTCAATCCTATGATCAATATGATGCACGGAACTCCTTGTAAGTAATATTTGTGGTTTGGATACATACCAAAAACTCTACTACTCCTCTCTTGTTATATGCTTGGTTTCATTTTAAAGTATATCTTTGAGAATATATTATGTCGTGTTTCCAGTTAATTGCATATTGCATTTATCCTTTTGTACAAACATCGATAGGGAATATTATTCATTGCAAATTCAATGTTATGAAGTTACGGGTAATCATTTACACTCATGATTCATACTTCAGGCGCGCTAAAAAAGAATGTTCCTCTCATAAACCATTCTATTATACTTGGGGTATATAAATCCCCATTCGGATTTCTAATACGGAGCATTAGTCATTAGAGGTGTATCTCCACAATCTAATCACTCATGAGTCATGATTGCATAAATTCATGGAGTATACAATAGGTACGGGACATAGGCTTGTTAACATGTACTGTACTAATTAATTGAGGAAAAATTCTTTAGATACACCCTGGGTTCAAGGAGTTTCACACCGACACTTTTTTGTCTACATTGTGTACACCGACATTGGTTTCCGTGCAACCAGCCTGACAGATCTGAAAACTAATTTTATTCACACCGACAATTTTATCGAATGTGTCTGTATTTGTACACCAAGAATTTCTGTGAATTGAGCACCAAGGAAACATTCTTTAGGTTCAAGGAGTTTCACACCGACAATTTTTGTTTATGCGAATGACAAATAAATAGGGTGTAACCCAGGGTGTACACCAAGAATTTCTGTTAATTGAGCACCGGAGTACAAGACACAATCAAATGCACTATAAAAATATTCCCGCGAAGAAAATCAAACACAATTGCTAAAACAAATCATTTATATGAACAAATTATATAGATGTCTGCGTAAAAGATTTTTTATACCTTTATGTGTTTGAATTTATTTAGGGAAAATTTCCGAAAATGAGTAAAACGTTTGAGAATTCCAATACATAACTGTCACGTTTTTATTACCTAAATGTGAGTTATTACTGCAAGTTGAAAAATACTTTCATGTTTAAAGTTTGGCTCTATCAAAACATGATATTAATTACTTCTATTTAGAGAATAAAAATATGACAATCCAATTTTGGAACACACAAACGCTTTTACTCCGTGCACCTAGGCATGGACCCGGGCCGGTTCGGGCTTGGGCCCGGCCGGGCCTTGGTTCAGGAAAGGGGAGGCCCGGAACCGGCCCGGGTAACCCCCGAGTCCGGGCCGGATCGTGTCGGGCCTCGGTTCAATTTTTTTTTTGCCTTTTCCTAATTAACCCCTAACCCCCCCTCACCCCCAAACCATCCCAAACCATCTCAAATGACCCAAAATACCCAGCCCAACCCAAAAACTTAAAAAAAAATTCAAAAAAAAAAGAAAGAAAAAAAAACAAAATGGCCCGGACCCGAACCAGTCGGGCCGGTTCACGTTTTGAGGGGCCTGAGCCCGGACCGGAACCCCAGCGGGCCGGGCCTACCCGAACCGGTCACTGACCGGGCCGGTCCGGAACAGTGCCGGTTCGAGCCGGTTCCTGGTCGGGCCACCCGGCCCGAGTCCATCCTTACGTGCACCTAATTTGATAGACATGAATTTGTTTCCAAGAAAAATACACAAATGATGTAAAATTGGGGTGTACCGTTGTTATGTAAAAAAGATTAAGGTAGTGTTTGCCATTGATTAAAATAAGTGCTTATGAGCTTTTAGTTTTAAAAAAGCAGAAATTGGTGTTTGCAAACAACTACTTCTACTTTGAAAAAGCATTTTTAAGCTAAAAGTTAGAAGCTGGAGTTGGGGTGCTTCTAAGTGCTTCTTGGTTTTTTTTGTAATTAATTCAAACTTCAAGGAGGGTTATAATGGAGCGTATATTTGCCTTGGACCAAAGATACTCTCGTCTCCTAGTACAGTTTCGTCCGACTCCATGTCTCGCTTTCAGACCTTAGTCAGCCGGGCCAGCCGGCTTTATCAAATGTTCAACAAGAATAACGATGAAATAGCTTCAACTTCTGCAAAATGTCCAGACGTTTATGAAAATAAGGAGGGTTTACAAGAGGAGCAGTCTTCATCATCATCACTCAGTTTTGAAGTTGAGAAGCATGGAGATGAGGGAAGTGAAATTCCAAGTAAATTGACAGGAGTAGTAGTAGACCCTTACTCGAAGCAATTGGAAGAACAAAATTCGATGGACAGGGAAATGAATTACAGGATTCAAATTTAGAATTTTTGAAAATCCATCCAAGCTCTGGAACTTGCTGCTTGAATAGAGTGCTTGGTGCGATGAAAGAAAGCTGAGGAAAGAGACGGATCCTTAGGCATTTATTTAATTGGGAAGGGTAAATATGTACTTCTACAATCTACTAAAAAAAGTCACTTTTTTTATCAAACACTCTACCTTTTACCTTTTAATAAAAATCACTTCTATTTCCAAACACTATCTACTTTTACTTAAAATCACTTTTTTAATAATCTCTTGGAAAAATCACTTTTGAAAAGCACAAGCAATCGCAAACACTCCCTATTAGGGTTGGTTTGCAACTGCTTTTAAAAAAGCACTTCTCAGCTTTTGGCTTTAAAAAAGCACTTATTTTTCCAAACACTACAACTTTTATTTTTCTCGGCTTCCGCGTCAAAAGTGTTTTTACTTTTTCTATTACACAAAAAACACTTATTTTACCAAACACTACCCACTTTTACTTTTCAAAATCACTTTTTTCCCAAACACCATCAACTTTTATTTAATCACTTCTCCTCATTTCATTAAAAAGCACTTTTTTAAAAGTAGAAGCTGTTGCAAACAGACCCTAAGGTGGTGTTGCAAGACCCAGAGTTCAGTTGAAAATATGTTTTCACTCCCTTAGAAAAGCCATAATGATTTTTAACACAAATCTTGCCAAGGCTATGTTTGTATAGCTATTTCTATTTTTTTAGCTTTCCTTTTTTATTTGTCCAGATTATTTCGTGATTCAGATTATTTCTTTTAAAGTAATGAATTCGTGATTCAGATTATTTCTCTCTCTTCTACATTAACTTCAATCATTTAATATTTTTATTTTTATATTTCACTCAATACAAAGTTGACAATCTCTATGATACATAGGTAATATTGATGCTATTCCGATGTACCAAAAAAAAGGTAATATGATGAGTTGATGAGAAATACATGTATGGTTACTTTGTAATGCATGGTGAAGATGAATCTGGATCAAATAAAAAAATCACTTGCCATAAAAAGTAAGAACAAATTCGGTGCATACGATCTAAAATCTAATGGCTCTAAATAAGTTGAAAAACACATAGAAATAGATTAAAAAAACAGGGTGACATTTTTTGTAAATAAAATGAAGGTTTTCTTCTTTGCAAAAAGTTAACGTCATGTGTGCAATAGTATATCATAGATGATCAAAAGTGAAAATCATCTGAATGCAATAGTGCTCCTTAGATAATCAAAAGTGAAAGTGTTCACACTTTGTACAATAAGACAACTTTTTATTGAAACCATAGTTGATGAAGATACTATCTAACATTATTTTGGATTGGAGCATATAAAACATACAGATTACTCCCTCCGTTCTTTTTTATTAGTCCTTCTTTCCTTTTTGGGACGTTTTTTTATTTGTTCTCTTTTCTCTTTAAGGAAAGTTTTTGAGAAAATACCCTCACTTTTATTATTTTTACCTCACTTACTTTTTACAAACTACTTTCTATTTCCTACTTTATCATCACTTTACTCTTCTTAATACACTCTATTTCCTACTTTATCATCACTTTACTCTTTTTAAAATATCATGTTTTCTACTTTATCATTTACCCTACTACTTTATGCATATGAGTTTGTAAGAAATTAATGTATTGTACCTAATTACTAGTAAATTGATATTAGTTTTGTACTATTATTAGTAAAGTGATTAAAAAATAAAAATTATGGTTAAAATTCGAGTAGGACAAAGTGAAATGACATAGACTATATATTTTTCTTGCCAAAAATGAAAATGTAAACTACACAGTTCAAAAATGAAAGCAACACTGGTAAAGCCAAAAATTGCCAATTAGAGGGGGCGGGACGTAAGAAATTCATATTGAGGATCAAAGCTTAAATTTTCACTACATTTTTTTATTGCTTATAAATACGTATACATAAATATACATACATCATACTTTTTTTCTTGAGGGGTCGCCAAGCCTCCCCTATCTCCACTCCTAGATTCCATAACTGAGACAATCAAAATGTTTGAAAAGAATTTATTATCATTAGTAAGAATGAGTAAACTAACTAACCAGTAACTACTACAAAGTCTTGATTGTTTGTATCTGTGTGATCGTTGTTTCTTCTCTAAAGAAGAGAAGAGGGCTTCTTGGTTCTTACACTGTACACATTGGATTTGTTAAATAAGGTTTGAGGGTGAAAGCTAATGAATGTGGGAGGGACGCCAGGCAGAGGCGGTCAACAATGGCAAATCCTTCCACCCCAACCTCAACCGCCCATTTTCCTCCACCAAAGTGTATCCTTTCCAAGGGAACATCCCGAGCAAAAGGCCTGCCTGAGCAGCCGGGCTACCTGTGAGTGAAACGGGTTTGAACCCGACCCGTTGCAGCTCATCGGACCACCTGGGCTCCTCCTCCTCCCGGACGAGGATGTTCCTGATCTCGCGCCCCAGCAGCTGCTGCTCCACCGTGTGCCTCTCCACGCTGTCCTCGCCCAACCCCTCCCCGAGCGCGTCAAACAAAGCCGAGTAATAATGCAAAGCCTCCACAAACCTCCCCAGGAAACTCGCCCCGCCACTGCTCGTGTCCTGCTCCACCACCGTGACCAGCTTTGGCCTCAGGAGAGTGAGCCATCTCAGCGTCCCTAAATCGCTCCCGGTCACGTCGTACAGCCTGTGTTGCATCCAGTGCACCACCGTAGTCTCACCCAGTTGGCCCGGGTCCGGCGTCAGGTTCCCGATTTTGCCCTCCAGCGCCCGGAACTCGAAAGGGAGCCCGAGTGAGCTCGCGAACTCTGCGAGTCTCCGCCCGGTGGACTCCAGCAGCTCCATTGAGGGTCCCACGCCGGTTATCTTGATGGATCGGATCTTTCGGCTGCGTGAGGCCAGGATGTGGAACAGTCCCGGCCATTGCAGGCCCTGCATGATGTCGAGGTCGATGATGTGGACATGATCCTCTCCATCAAGGGCCTGGAAGATGGCCTGGTTGGCGGTGAAGTGGGAGAATTTGACCAGCGGGCTCACGGAATTGTAGATCTGAAGGGCGGCGAAGAGCTTTTTAGATTGGGATAGGGTAAGGTTTTCGATGGTGAGCGGCGGCCGGTGGGAGCCGAGAAAGGAGCTTATGATCCGCGCGGAAAGTGCTTCGGCGAAGTAAGCGGCAACGCGCTCCGCAGACGACCCGAACGGAGAAGATAGCTCCGAGATCTCCGGAATTAGATTGCCGGCGCTGGGGAGATCATGAGCCGAGACGCACTCCGCGCATTGCAGCAGAAGACCGAGCAAATGGAGACCGGCTGACTCGGTGTGTGCCGCCACCCCGTAATCCTCATCGCCGGAGAGGGAGGGGCCCGCCGGAGAAGTGAAATGGCACTGCCTTTTGAAGGATGGGTCCTCTGCGGCGGCGAGGTCAACTACGGAACAACGCTTGGAGGCCATGGAAGAAGAAGAAGAAATGGCGAAATAGAAATATTGCAGCAGCCACGTTGGTGATGATCGACCAGAAAGGTCGGCGTGTGAAAATGGAGAAGAAGAGGAGGAGTAGAGATGAAGGGCGGGGAAGAGCATGAAGGCTGGTGCTGTTTTTGGAAGTATCGATGAGGCCGGTAGGCATGCAAATGCAATTCAATCAATGAGGCTAGCTTCTTCTGTTTGTCGTGTGCACTTGTTGTTATTAGGTGCCCGCCTGCTTGTACATTTGGATGTGTTTGTACATTTTTGTATAACAACATGCGTTTGGATAATGCATTTGTCCTCCACCACTCTCTCTTCTCCTAAATCATTGCCCCCTTCTTTCAAAAATTTGTCATTATAGTTGTCAACACACAAAGGTGCTTGGATAGCTATGGTTACCGTAAGAATTTGATGCTTTATGCTCCATTTAAGAGAGTTGATCGTATAAGTTAATTGTGTATTCACAAGGCTTAATAATGATTATTGTACTGTTTTATGCTCTTTAATGTAATTAAGGAATGTATTAATTATAGTTGAGTAACCTTTATGACGGGTTTGAAATCGTCACAACGGGCCAAGTCATCTACCAAACCGTCAGTAACGGACTAACGGATAAAATAGTCATGAAAGTATTAATTACCTCTCCTATAAATAGAGTGAAATCAATCTAGTTTCTCATTCGAATAACAAACTGAATTACATCCTTATTTGCTTACTTGTGTTTCTTACTTCGTATTGTTTTTGTACGAATCTCAATCTATATGTAATTTTCATTTCAATTAGTTTTAACTTATCAAAATATTGCTTAAACAATTATGTCATGAAAATGATTTAGAGAAGAATAAAAAGAAATGGAGCACAAACCATTTTTATTAGGCTCAAGAGTTGTAAATATGAATGAACTAGTGGTGGATGTGTTTGAAAACAGTCCATTAAATTAGGATTTTTTTCACAAACAGACTAGGTAAGATTTTTTTCACCTATGCAAATTGTCTTCAAAAATAGACTAGGTAAGATTTTTTTTTTTTTTTTTTTCAAAAATAGACCACAAGCACGAAGCACTAAAGTTTACTCGCTAGACAGCAGGATGCAAAACACCTACGACCTACTGGAATGCCATCTCCTAACGAAGTAGCTAAATGATATATAATGCTGCAAAATTCAACATTTGAAAAGTCTTTATTATTATATTGAGAGGGTCGAGTTCTATAATAAGGTCTAGATCTGGTTCTGTTCTTGGCATTGTAGGCTGATATTCCGGTTTATTTTTAAAATTTTGTCTCTCAACCTCAATGTGATTAAGATGGTTAATCAACACACCAATGTTTGGAATTTTTTAGAGAAGCTTCTCACTTTGATCAACTTGTTTATTCATACTATCGAGATTTAGCGAAACAAATAATATTATCTTGTTCTAAAACCAGTTCACTGTATTTAAGCTTCTCATCTATTAACTCTCTCACTTTAGTCTCAAGCCTTAGCTTTTCTCGTTTGGTTTTCTCGAGTTTAGATTCAAGCTCAATGATTTGTGATTTTAGTTTCTCGTTTTCAGAAAGATTTTGATTAAGCTCGATAGTTAGTCTTTTGAAAATATTCCGAACCTTGGTTTTGGGTAGTGAATCAAATTTAGAAATAAATGTTTCTAGATTCACCTCAAAGTTCTCTTGGTCGGATTCCGCATCGGAGTGGACCATGAGACATATCCCAGCCTGATTTAGACTCCTAATCGCTTTCATTCCCATCATCATCTAACAAGTCTCCCTAAGCAGCCATCATTGCTTTTTTCAAATCTTTATTGAAATTTTTATCTTTGTTGAACCGTCGAGTAGAACTCGTCTTGTTCCTTTCCTGGGTTCTGTCATTCTTCTTTCGCGGACAGTCTTTTGCCTAATGCTCAAATGATCCACAAACAAAACAACCTTGGTTATCAAAAAATTTAAATTAAAGCTTTTCTTACCTTGTTTGTTTCTGTTGTTCTTGAATAGTCCGTACACTTTTCCAAGTTGCTTAGCAAACATGCTCATTTCATTTTCATATTCGCTCTCAGATTCCTCTTCTTCTTCTTCTCGTGCCTTGAGAGCAATGCCTCTTTCTTTTCTAACATTTTCAGCATCTTGTTCCTCTTGTAATCCTAACTCATACGTCATGAGTGAGCCCGTCAAGTCCTCTATAGTTAGGGTTGATAGATCTTGGTCTCTTTTATTGTCGTGGTTTTTGGCTTCCATGTAGATGGCAAGCTTCTCATCACTTTTCTCACTTGATCTTCAACTGATATTTCTTTTCCCAAGGATGAAAGTTCATTAATGATATTAGTAAACCGTGTAATCATATCCCTAATTGACTCTTTAGGCTTAATTACGAAAAGTTCATAATTCTGCATAAATATGTCAATTTTGGATCTTTTTACACGGAAAGTACCTTCATGAGTAATCTCGAGCAAATTCCACGTTTGTTTGACAGACTTGCATCCTAGAACCCGATTGTGTTCAGCAAGACCAAGTCCACAAATCAAATACTTAAGAGTTTGGGCATTATGCTCGAGTTTTAAATAATCATTAGAAGTATATTCACACTTCAGTTCAGGAACAATAGTACCTTTGTGATAGCATTATCACCTTCCTCAATAATGTTCCATACCTGATAGTTTTTTGCCTTGATAAAATTCTCCATTCGACTTTTCTAGAATTGATAGAACTTGCCATTGAACGGTGGAGGTTGTTGGGGTCGAGTAACCTTCTTCAAGACGGTCAACTGTGTTCATTTTGCCGGATCTCTTCCCAAGGTTTACCCTCTATGTGGTAAAGACCGGCTCTGGTACCAATTGATAAACCAGTTGAATAAAAAAAGAGGGGAGGTGAATTAATTATGTGTGCGTAGAACTACGACAGTTTTTCGCCGAGTTCTAGGGCGGGACAAAGGGAAAACTTTGTCCCGCACTAAATAGAAGTTTACTATTTTAAGTGTACTTCTAATATTATCAAAGTAGGTCGCCCTTCTTTGCGAATAATACTATTATTGATAATAATAATGTTATCAATAATAATAGTAGAGCGTCAGATTAATTCTATCACCACTCTTCGCCATCCCCTTTGAGCAGCTCCTTTGATTGCCTCTAAAATACCAATAACTTCTGATTCCTCCAATGACCCGTTCAGCCTTTGATTCGGTTAAGCCCTCCTAGGAAAACTCCCTCGCTATCCCGGGCCACTCATCCCCAAACACGACCCCCCCCACTAATATTAACAAAGACATCAACGTTAATCTTCACCCATCCATGTTCCGGTCACTGCCACTTCTCATGCCTCTGCTCATGAGCTTCTTTCAGCCTTCCCCCAACTCTAATTAGGCCTCCCTCCACCCGCTTAGAGTTAATGAAGCCAGCTACACAACCGCTGAAGGAGTAACAAAACCGTCCTTCCAAACTAACTTGTGCTAGTGCGGGACAAAGGGAAAACAGAAATAAAAGGACACAAAGATTTAACGAGGAAAAATCTCTTGTCTCAACAAGGATTAAAAAATCTTGACCTCCCTCGGAGTAATTTGAAAAACTCTTCACTAAAAGCCTTAAAACAAGTCACAAGATAAATTCTCCCAGTTTACCCTTGAGCCACCCCAAATTCAACCTCTATAGGTAGAGTTCTCACTACCTTACCTTGTGGGTAAGGAGTCTCTAGCTTTACAACAAAACTCTCACTTCACACCCCAACCCTCGGAGGAAAGTATAATCAAATGTTCCTCTTAACCCTCAATACAATAGAAGAAATGTAATTACAAATGATAGAACTGATAATGGAATTGTCGCATGTACTCGGTCTTTTATGACATGTTGTATAACTCTCCTTATTTGAGTATTTTCTTCTCAGTTCAAGTACAGTTCTCATCTCCATGCACGAGCCTAGTCATATATAGGGATGTCTAGGAGCGCATTACGACATTTAAAAGCTTTGCTTTTAGGCCAAACTCTCCTTTGTCGTATTTGTTTCTTTGAGGATGGATTCTTTCCTTTTGAGCACGGTTCTCTTAAATGTGCTAGATCAAGGTTTGATGTGTTATCCTTAATGAGTTCGGATCTCCATATATATTTCGGTCCAACTTGCATAAAAATTATTAAAAAAATGTTTCCTTATAGGTATTAAAAAGTATTGTTTTTATTTGATTGAGGGAAATCATTTTTCTTAAGGAAACATTCCTTGTGAGAGGAGATGCACGAATTGAAATCCAATTTGAATTTTGAATAACACCTTTTAATTTTGAAAATTGCTTTGTAGAAAAATCTCTTAATTAATGCATTTGATTTAAATAACTTTCCTTTAAAGAAAAACTTCTTTCTTTGTATGATCATTGATTATTTCCTTACTAAAAAATTCTCTTTAATTTAGTAAGACAAAACCGAACTTGAATAGAGAGAAAAGATATTTGTAAGTAAATCAGTATATTCAATTTTGGATCTGCCAGGCAGTTCTAGGTTCACGTCTACGGCTTGTTCCAAATCACGACTTAACTTTCTTTCGTGCAATCACTTTTTATTTGCTCAAAAGTAACACTAGTTTTTTTTTTATAAAATAAAGTAACACTAGTTGTTTGTCATCAACAAAACATTATGTTCCAACACTTAATGCATCCCACATTATTACACATATATATACCAAATCCGATGTTTAATGTAAGGGAAGACGTGCATGTTACGTACATAATAATACCAGCCAAACTAAAAATTGTCAACACATTCCATATTTATATATAATGATGTGATGTGAACAATAATATAATATAGGCATATTACATATAGCGAGCTTAGGTTCAATTCATGATATATAATTATAGGATACGTACGTAGTATATATGGTACATATATATGGTCGATGATCAATTAAGCTAAGCTAGGTCTCTACAGACTGAAGTCTAGGAGCAGCGGCATTTGGTGCAGCAGCAGGCTGCAGCTGCAAATGATCGGCTGCGCTTTTCTGAATGAGTTTGACGATGTCGATTATTTGTTCCTCACTCAGCTCACGGAGAACGACCTGTTTTCGCCTGCTGCTGCTGCTGCAGTTATTCTCATCATCAGCTTCCAGGATTATGACTGCGGGTTGGGGTTTTCCCACTCCATCCTTTGTTGCCATCTCCTTCTTCTTGTCCTTGTACATCACGTACAGTCCTATTTGAACGATTCCAAAGAAGAAGCCCAATACATTTGGCACCTGTGCATGTTTATACATCACCAAGTTAAGTTAAGTTGCAAGCTAGCTCCAAGTATGCATGGTATATAGGATGAAAACATGGTCGGGTAAAATGCACTAGTAAGTAAGAGTATGTAACTGTGTTTTATTCCTAATTTCGTTCTAGTACATATAGTACAAAACTTCAATTCCCTAATTAAGAACAAAACTTCCTTTTTAGTTCATTTTCAGATATACTATTGTATATACGGAAATTGTCTCAAATAAGAGTAAAACATAAGATTAATTCCTAAAT